TTTTTTTCTCCAAACATAAATAACAGATATATTCCATAAAATATAAAAACGGCCTCCCATAAAGTACCCCCCCGATGTTCCGACTTTGTCCAAAATCTAATCATTTCACGTCAGGCCGAAATAAAACTTAAGTTTAAAATTTAATGTTTTGTTCTTTATCCATTTTTGAGTTTTCTTCAAATTTCGAAATTTACACATTTTCTCAAATATCTCGAATACGGTCCATTTTAAAGAAATTATCTATAGAATAAAAATTATAGAGAATTATATTACAAACAACTTTTGTTTGAACAATTTTTATAAAAAAAATATTTTTTTACATTTTGTCAAATTTCGCGAATACGGACCATTTTAGGAAAATTTTGTATATAACAAAAATTATAGATAATAAAATAAGAAGTAATTTTTATTTAAAGAATTTTCTTCCCCAAACGTAAATAACAGATATATTCCATAAAATATAAAAATGACCACCTATAAAGTACCCCTCCAGATGTTCTGACTCTGCCCAAAATCTAATCAGCTCATTAGACGCTGGAACAAAGCTTAAGTTTGAAATTTGGTGTTTTTCCGTGTATCGGTTCATGAGTTATGCGTTATACAGACACACACACACACACACAGACACACAGACACACACACACACACACACAGACATCATCGCGAAAATAGTCAAAACGGATTCAGGGGACCTCAAAACGTAAAAATCCGTCGAAAACTCGAGGTCGAAAAAAATCATGTATCCTATACTTTCCTTATATCTGTATACAGATAGGAAAGTAAAAAATCTGATGTGTCCAACACATGACTTTCCTATCTAGTTATTACAGGCTTTTTCCGTTTATTGTGTACAATCTATTGCAGCATCTCTATAAATGTTTAGAGGATAAACTAAATATATACATTGTCCACATACATCTACCGCGAAACATTTTTCTATAGATATTCATTGAAAATGAAAATACTGAAAAATTTAAATTTAGCATTTTTCCTACAATTTTTCCATTACGGTCCATTTAAAAAAAATCATGTATGAACAAATATTATAGAGATCGATATCGCAAACAACTTTTATTTCAACAATTTTCATAAAAATCAGAATTTTGCACATTTTGTCAAATTTCTAGAATACGGACCATTTCAGGAAATTTTTACATAAAACAAAAATTATAGATAATAATATTAGAAGTAACTTTTATTGGAACAATTTTCTTCTCCAAACATAAATAACAGATATATTCCATAAAATATAAAAACGGCCTCCCATAAAGTACCCCCCCCCCAGATGTTCCGACTTTGTCCAAAATCTAATCATTTTACGTCAGGCCGACATAAAACTTAAGTTTAAAATTTATTGATTTTTTCTTTATCCGTTTTTGAGTTTTCTTCAAATTTCGAAATTTACACATTTTCTCAAATATCTCGAATACGGTCCATTTTAGAGAAATTATCTATGGGACAAAAATTATAGAGAATTATATTACAAACAACTTTTGTTTGAACAATTTTTATAAAAAAAAATATTTTTTTACATTTTGTCAAATTTCTCGAATACGGACCATTTTAGGAAAATTTTGTGAATAACAAAAATTATAGATAATAAAATAAGAAGTAACTTTTATTTAAAAAATTTTCTTCCCCAAACGTAAATAACAGATATATTCCATAAAATATAAAAATTACCACCTATAAAGTACCCCCCCAGATGTTCCGACTCTGCCCAAAATCTAATCAGCTCATTAGACGCTGGAATAAAGCTTAAGTTTGAAATTTGGTGTTTTTCCGTGTATCGGTTCATGAGTTATGCGTTATACAGACACACACACACACAGACACACACACACACACACACAGACACACACACACACACACAGACACACACACAGACATCATCGCGAAAATAGTCAAAACGGATTCAGGGGACCTCAAAACGTAAAAATCCGTCGAAAACTCGAGGTCGAAAAAAATCATGATTCCTATACTTTCCTTATATCTGTATACAGATAGGAAAGTAAAAATCTGATGTGTCCAACACATGACTTTCCTATCTAGTTATATAAATGTTTAGAGGATAAACTAAATATATACATTGTCCACATACATCTACCTCGAAACATTTTTCGATAGATATTCATGGAAAACGAAAATACTGAAAATTTTAATTTCCTACAATTTTTTCATTACGGTCCATTTTAGAAAAATCATGTATAAACAAAAATTATAGAGATCGATATCGCAAACAACTTTTATTTCAAAAACTTTCATAATAAAAATCAGAATTTTGCACATTTTGTCAAATTTCTCGAATACGGACCATTTCAGGAAATTTTTACATAAAACAAAAATTACAGATAATAATATTAGAAGTAACTTTTATTTGAACAATTTTCCTCTCCAAACATAAATAACAGATATATTCCATAAAATATAAAAACGGCCTCCCATAAAGTACCCCCCCAGATGTTCCGACTTTGTCCAAAATCTAATCGTTTCACGTCAGGCCGAAATAAACCTTAAGTTTAAAATTTAATGTTTTTTTCTTTATCTGTTTTTGAGTTTTTTTCAAAATTCGAAATTTACACATTTTCTCAAATATCTCGAATACGGTCCATTTTAGAGAAATTATGTAGAGAATAAAAATTATAGAGAATTATATTACAAACAACTTTTATTTGAACAATTTTTATAAAAAAATATTTTTTTTACATTTTGTCAAATTTCTCGAATACGGACCATTTTAGGAAAATTTTGTATAGAACAAAAAATATAGATAATAATATAAGAAGTAACTTTTATTTAAAGAATTTTCTTCTCCAAACGTAAATAACAGATATATTCCATAAAATATAAAAATGACCACCTATAAAGTACCCCCCAAATGTTCCGACTCTGCCCAAAATCTAATCAGCTCATAAGACGCTGAAACAAAGCTTAAGTTTAAAATTTGGTGTTTTTCTGTGTATCGGTTCATGAGTTATGCGTTATACAGACACACACACAGACACACACACACACAGACACACACACACACACACACAGACATCATCGCGAAAATAGTCAAAACGGATTCAGGGGACCTCAAAACGTAAAAATCCGTCGAAAACTCGAGGTCGAAAAAAATCATGATTCCTATACTTTCCTTATATCTGTATACAGATAGGAAAGTAAAAAGGGACTTCTGGTTGATCTTTGTAAATTATTCCATTTCCAAGGTGATAGAACTGATTTATTTTATGCAGAGTGTTTTGAAACATGTAAATATGGCTAATTTTAAGTTCAATTTAGTCAATTTTGTCAAATGCAGCACACTGTATATTATTGTCACATAAAATTCCTTATCAATTTACCTATCCAACATGTCCCAATAGTGCGTAATTGATCGATAGCTGTTTTATTATTGAAAATAGGAAAAACAAATTAATATAAAAGTTGTATGACCATCTTTAATAAATATTCTTAAATATACAGGGTGGTCCAAAAACGAGGGGCTGACCAAACTTATACATTTTTATATTTGTTTTCACATCGCCAAACAACTTTAATAGACTTCATTTATTTGCTATGTTGTATATAAGGTGTTTTAAAATGAGGAGTAACGATTCTCTCATTTTTTTAAATGGAATACCCTATATGTCATACCACCAATTAATTAATACAGGGTATTCCATTTAAAAAATTGAAAAAATCGTAACCTCACCTTTTGACATACCCTATATAACAACATAGCAAATGAATGAAAACAATTAAAATTGTTTGACGATGTAAAAACAATCAAATATGTATTACTACCTGCAGGGTGTTTTGCTTTAAAAAAGTATAGATTTGGTCAGCACCTCGTTTATGGACCACTCTGTATATTTAAAAATATTTGTTAAATATGGTCATACAACTTTTATATTAAACATTTCTTCGTATTTCTAATATTAAAACAGCTATCGATCAATTATGCACTGATGGGACACCCTACATATGTGTTATTGACTAACACATTGGTATTGTTACATGGGCAAATTTATAGGGAATTTTATGCCAAGATAATATACAGTGTGTTGCGTTTGAAAAAATTGAGTAAATTGAAGTTAAAATTAGTTATATTTTAAAACCAGTTGTATCACCTCTATTCGTTAGCTTAGTATTTTATAAGTCTGTATATTAAACAATTTTGAAATTAATGTAAACCTACCTAAATAATGATAATTTAATTTGGGGTCTACATCTATCTCTAATTTAAAAAAAAAAATTAATTGTTTGGCGACACTGTAATATTTTTTAAAAACATTCTAGGGTTAAATATAGTGTTCCCAAGCCATTCTAAAAATAAAATATAGGGTGTTTTATTTAAAAAACATACATTTTTATTTGTCAAGCAAAAACGCAACACCCTGTATATCCAAACATATTTTTAAAATATGTATTTTTCAAATCCATATAACTTTTATTAAAACTTAAACACAACTTGAAATATTAAGCAATTACGAACTAGTGAGATCCTTTATATAAATTTTAATTTTTAATTTGAAGGAATATTATTATTTTAGATGACAATGTTTGAGAAACTCTTTGTTTTATTGTATTTATTTTATCTCTCTATTTTTGTTTAATATAACGTTTAAAAATAGAATGATGTTGACTATAGATTGGGAGGGTAATTACCCTCATTACCCCCCTTATCTACGCCCTTGACATAGACTGTTAAGTGTCAAATGGCCACAACATTTAGTTCACAGTAGAGGGTGTATCGCTTATCTTCAGATCCCAATACTTATGACAATTGATTCATTTACCAACTACTTTGGCACTGCTTTTTCCTTGTATATTTTGAATCTTTGAATATTGAGAATTCAATATAGAAAAAACAGTAACTAAAGTCTTAAGTGTAGGGTGTTGGTTCTCAACCTCTTTACATACTGTATCTAGTTTGTCTTTTATTTAATTACCTATTTAATTACTACTTTTATTTTTTAAGCATAATTTTTTGGATAATCAAAATCCGTATCCGGCTTACGCAAAATTAGGAGGAATTCCCCGATAATCGACAAATTCTCACAACACTTAACAATAAACAACAAATACATGCACGCTGTAGTGTGCGATTGACGCATTTCAGTCTAAAGCCGCCTTTAATTTCTTGTGTTGCTAAGATAAAATGATCCGCAACATACACAGTTTCTGCCAGTGTTGATGATCACCCAGTCCGGTTCAGTTACTTTTAGTTGTTAAGTGTTTATATATAGACTTATTTTTTTTATTCTTAAAATGGCAGCCATAATTGGACAAGTCATCGTATTGGTGTTGGTAGCTGGATATTTCAAAGGTAATCTAGAACAACTTTTTCTTAAAGAAATGGAAAGTGAACATAACAGTAGAAGATATATAGTCTAAAACTTATATTTTAATTAAATTTTAAAAGTTTTAATTATGTTTAAAGTGAAAATAAACTTTACGTGCTTATTTAACACAAATTTCAAATATCCTAGAAGCAGTGTCGCATTGAGCCATTTAGACAACGTATCCTAAAGATTATTTCGTGAGCCCTAATATACAGGGCAATTCAGTTTCATACGTTAGGAGTTTGTTTAAAATAACATATATTTGTTTAGGACCAAGGTTTTATGAAAGAGATGCATTTTTCGGGATTTTGTTCCGACCGTAATTTAATAACTATAAAAGGGTTGATGATTTTATTGATTACAACTGAAAAGTAGAGGGTGTTTCGTGAACATCTAACTAGCTGTCTAGGGTTAATAGTACGTCAAAGAATAATATTAGTTTACTTAATAAACATATATCCAAAAACACATTTTTTTCGAAGGGGTCATTAAACGATACTTCAAAACCTTAAATTACATCACTTAAGTTGTTTTTCCAAAAATGTCTAAGTCTGTGAAGAGGTAGATGAGGGTTAAATAGTTAACTACTTCCTCTTATTTTTTGTTTTTCAATTTTTTAAAAAACGAAATTGAAATTAGGATTTTTCAGCTAATTTTATATTAAAAAGATACTCTTAGCAAATGTTCGCTTTAAATTTGCGAATATTACTTTAAAGCTAAAGGTTCTTTTTCTATTCAATACTTAGTATATTAATTTCCCATATATTTTGACTTTTATGCTTAGAAGGATATAAACTGAACTGGACTGGAATAAGAGGTGCTAGTGTTTGTCTTTTTCTAAGTAATCTAGCACTATATTTTATAGATTTCCGTCGAAACGGAAATATAATTTTCCCATTTTTACCACAAATTATAACTCAGCTTACACATAAAAGTTCATATAAACACATTAACTAAATACGAAACGAAGTTTTTTTAATAATTTCATCCTAAGCGACTTAAATGACTACATAAATACTTTTATCCTAATTTTCCGGTACTGCATGCACCGCCAACGTCCGCCGCCTTGTTGCCAAATCAATTAAAATGGATTCGAATCTTGACGAGAGTTTCTCAGATTTCGTAATTCAAGGTTTTCAAAAAATATACGCTTTGGACAAAAAAGTGTATTGGAAAGAATTAGCTGATTTTTATACAGTGTGTCCGTAAAATATGGAACAAATTCATTTTTAGCTAAACAGACCATTTTAAGAAATAATCCTGAAACACGTCGATTTTTGATTTTAATTTACCGTATTTTAAAATAATAATCTAATATACAGGGTGAATTACTTTCGAGTAATGACGTCACCGTCATTTTTTTAAATGGAACCCCCATTTTGTCTCAATTTTCGGATTACTCTAGCTGAGCCGATTCCAAAAATGTATCACATGTTGATTCCAATTGGTACAGGGTGGACTCGTGGTCTAGCAGACAGAATATAAAAGAAATTATTTCTTATCAATTTTGAAAAAACATTTTTGTCTAGTTTTTTGTTTAGTAATTTATTGATGTTCAGTGACAGTTTAGTACTACAATATTTTTGGTATTCGTGAATGTTTTAATTATTGCTTAGATTTAATTTGAATTAAAAATGGAGTTAAATGTAAAACAAAAAATTGAAATACTTATGATGATTGGGTATGGAGACAGATCGCGAACTCAGATGGAAGTGTGCAATTTGTTTAATGATAAATATCCAGAAAGACCTATAACGCGTTCAACAGTTAGTAAGATTGAAAAGAAAGTTGGAGAAACTGATACGGTTGAAAATGTACGCAAATCAGGTCGTCCCTCTGCAAATGCTGATTACATGTTTTACTTAGTTTTGAAGAAAACGCGCACACTTCTGTGCGTAAAGTTAGTCGCGATATCGGTGTTAGCAAAACAACGGTACACAAACTATTAAAGCTTGAAAAATGGCATCCTTATAAAATCAAACTTGTGCAGGAATTAAACGAAGATGATCCCGATAGAAGAATCCAATTTTGCGAAAAAATAAGATAAATGTCACCGAGACCCTCTTTTGATACAAAACATTATTTTTTCTGATAAGACCACTTTCACGTTAAATGGCGAGGTTAACCGTCAGAATTGTAGATACTGGGCAAAAGAAAACCCCCACTGGATGCGTGAGCATCATACACAAATTATAACGAAATCGAATCATCGAACCCTACTTTATCGAAGGTAATTTAAACGGGGTAACGTACCTTGAGTTTTTAAGGGGGTATCTCGTACCTGCTTTACGTAATTTTTTTCCCAGCAAACGTAATCCTGGAGGTTGTGATGAAAGTTTATGGTTTCAACAGGATGGTGCACCTCCACATTATGCTGTAGATGTTAGAAGGTACCTAGATGAAATTTTTCCGAACAGATGGATTGGTAGACGTTGATCTATCTAATGGCCAGCGAGATCACCAGATTTTAATTCTTTGGATTATTTTATGTGGGGCCATCTGAAGAATGTTGTATATCAAACGAAACCAGCAAATATTCAAGAATTAAAAGAGAGAATTCGGACAACAATAAACAATATTTCTCAAGACACAATAAACAAGGTTCAACAAGAATTTGTACACAGTTTGGGTTACTGTCAAATACAGCAAGGGCTGCAGTTCGAACATTTATAAAGTCATGTATTTCATCATATTCTGTCCGCTAGACAATAAGTATTTTTGATAATATTGTTAATTTAACTAATAAAAAATGTTACTCGTTACTTTATGAGCACACACAAAACTAATGTATTTTTGCCGACCCTGTACCAATTGGAATCAACATGTGATACATTTTTGGAATCCGCTCAGCTAGAGTAATCCGAAAATTGAGACAAAATAGGGGTGTTCCATTTAAAAAAAAATGAAGGTGACGTCATTACTCAAAATTAATTCACCATGTATATTAGATTACTATTTTAAAATACGGTAAATTAAAATTAAAAATCGACGTGTTTCAGGATTATTTCTTAAAATAGTATGTTTAGCTAAAAATTAATTTGTTCCATACTTTACGGACACACTGTATAAAAATTCCCGGTAAAGACTCCTTTTTGCAATAATTTTCATAATTTGGATAAAAATAATTATAAAATAAGTTTTTCTGAATTCGGGCTCTACAGCGGTGTTCTCTATCATTTGCTTGGTATGTATACCAAATTTTATAAAAAAATATTAAAAACTGAGAAAGAGAACCTTGAAGTCGTTTTAAGCCAGTTTCTAACCATGGATATCGCTCTTAACCAAACTTCCCACCAAAAAATTTTATTGATTTTTAACCGACCTCAAAAAAGGAAGAGGTTTTCAATTCGTCGTATTATTTTTTTTATATATGTTCAGCGATAATTCTTTAACACATTATCCGATTTCAATAATTCGGGGGTGGTCCCATATTAATTTGCTCAAAATCTAATAATTGGGTCCAATAGAAAATCTTCGAAATCTTCATTTTTAAGGTATGTTTGGTGGTAATTCTTTACCACCTTGCCCAATCTCTATGATTCTTTTTTGTTAGTAAGGGGTACCTTAGGGATAGTCTCATATAAATTTGGTCAAAATCTAATAATTGGATCCATGAGAAAAATCCTCAAACTCTTCATTGTTTATGTATATTTAGCGATAATTCTTAACCACCTTGTCCGATTTATATGATTCTTTATTTGTTGGTAAGGGAATACCTTAGGGGTAGTCCCATATAAATTTGGTTAAGATGTGGTGACGGCATCTGCACGATTTTGAAGTTGGTTTTTTAAAATTACTTTTAATACTTGTTTTAAAAAGAGACACCAACATTTATAATGAAAACAAGGAGTATGTGTTGTAACCACAGGCGTTATGTACTTCAGTGCACACATATAGAGATTCGTGATGTTGCCAGTTGGTCTCTGCTTCTCGGGATATCCGAGGATCGGGTAGTGTACCGTCTCTCTATCCTTACCACCTATCCCCGAATTACCCCACTAAGCCTCGGCTGTCCGTCCGTCTTTCTGTCAGCGGCTGTATCACATGATCCGTGATAGTTAGACAGTTAAAATTTTTGTAGAATGTGAATTTGTGTTGCCGCTATAACAACAAATAATAAAAATAAATTAAAAACCAAAGGGGTTCCCTTACTAGAAACTTGTTTTTTGGCTTTTTTTCTCTCGATCCTAATAACGTATTTAAAAAGTACCTATATAGTATTAAATTTTGTACGATGGTTCAGAACCCTTCATGCGCGAGTTCGACTCGCACTTGGCTGATTTTATTATATTTATTAGTAATTTTAATTGTCTTGCGTTTTCTGGTTAATTATCCTTTTATTGTTTTGTTGCTTTTATTAAGATCTCAAGATACTGTTTTCCTCATAAAATAACCTTAATTTTTCTTATTTTCTACAATAAAACTAAATTACGTAGCATTAAAAATATCTGTATGCGGTTTGTATTCGCTCCGTGCGCGACAGCAGCGCCAATTCGTTTTGATACTAATGGATTATTTCTGCGTACACTGACAAATGCAACTTTTAATAGAATTTGTAATTAAAAAGTATATATATGGTAGTTTTAAAAAAAGTATATGGATTTGTAAAACAAGTAAAACATTAATTTATTATTATTATATATTTTTTTAAATTAAAGAAAATTATGTATAATCGATAAAAATGAATAATAAAATATAGGCAGGCAACAGTATTTAGTGGAAATTGTATGAGAAGTTGCCTAAATCTAATAAGTTTTCATTGAAGAATTACTCTAATCTGTCAAAATAAAAAAATACCCTTTAATAATAGCGTGAAGTTAAAATGTATAAAAGAAGGATCATTACTTATATTTTCATTTTTGTTCGAAAGAAAACATAGAATGAATGATTAAAACTGATTTCCCATCAGTAAGTTACAAAATTGCGTTCCAACCACATATAATAATCAAAGGCAGAAATCTTGAAATCTAATCCTTGCTGAATT